AACCCATTCTGTGAGTTTTGTTCTAATATGTTATAGTTGTATTTTTATTTTCATTATGGGTAGACTTGCTCCTAGTCTCAACTTTGTAACTAGAAAAATAGTCTAACCCATTCTGTGAGTTTTGTTCTAATATGTTATAGGTGTATTTTTATTTTCATTATGGGTAGCTTTTATTTCTAAATTAGTAATACTTATGTTTGGGAGAGCCTGGGTGGCTCAGTCAGTTGGGTGTCCAACTCTTGATTTTGGCTCAGGTTGTGATCCCAGGGTTGTGGAATCGAGCCCCAGGTAGGGCTTCATGCTTGGCATGGAGCCTGTTTGAGATCCTCTCTCTCTCTCTGTCTCTCTGTCTCTGTCTCTCTCTCCCTGCTTTTGCTACTCTCGCTGGCTCATGTGTGCTCTCTCTTTCTCTCTCTCTCTCTCAAAATGAAAAATGTTGGGGCGCCTGGGTGGCTCAGTTGGTTGAGCATCTGACTTTGGCTCAGGTCATGATCTCATGGCTCTATGCTGACAGTTCAGGGTCTGAAGCCTGTTTTGGATTCTGTGTCTCCTTCTCTCTCTGCCCCTCCCCCGCTCACACTCTGTGTGTGTGTGTGTGTGTGTGTGTGTGTGTGTGTGTGTGTGTGTGTCTTAAAAATAAACAAATATTAAAATTTTTTTAAATAAATACAAATGAAAAATGTCAAAAAATTAATAAATTAGTTATGCTTATATTTGTTTTTATAATTGTTAGCTTTACTTCCGTTCTTAATTGAATTGCTTTTCATTAGTCTTTCCATTTTATACCATGCATTTTGGTTCCTTGATTTCCTTTTGTTCATTACTTTTCATGCCTTCTTATCCACTGTTTGTGCATGAACTTTCTGGAATTCCTGACACTTTTGTTCTCTAATGTTAAATACTAAGTTTAAAAATCTGAAAGCATTCGTTAATCATAACTTTTTCTTTCACCTTTGGTATTTTATTGCAGCTCTACCAGGAACCTCAGTTGATTGACATCTCCACTCTTTTTTTTTTTTTTAAGTTTATTTATTTATTAGAGCGTGCACATGCAAGCGAGAGCACAAGTTGGGGAGGGGCAGAGAGAGAGGGAGACAGAGGATCCAAGGTGGGCTCTGTGCTGACAGCAGAAAGCCTGATGTGGAGCTTGAACTCACGAATCGTGAGATCATGACCTGAGCCAAAATCAGATGCTCAGCCAGCTGAACACCCACGTGCCCTGACATCTCCATTCTTATCCATCACTCTGTACTTGGTTTCCCCTCCCCCCCCCCCCCCCATCTACTTAGGATTTATGGCCAATCGTTTCACTCAGCATCCATCACCCTGCACTTGGTTACTTGGTTTCTTTTTCTTTACCCCCAGTCTATTTAGGATATATGGCCAATAATTTCACTTTTGCTAATACCCGAGACCAGTGGTTTTCAAACTGTGGTCCCGGGATTTCTGAGGGTTGATGGTTAGAACCCTGGAGCAGACTAGGTTACCTGTGAAGAGCTTGTGGATTGAGAATAGATTTCTGGCTCAGCCCTGAGATCCTAGAGAATAATGGTGTTTTTTGTTTTTGTTTGTTTGTTTGTTTTAGACGAGTAATATTTAAAGGCTGGCAGGAAAGGCAAGCTAGTGTTGGAGACTGGGTGAACAATCAGAGAAGGAGGACCTTTGCTGAGATAGAAGGTACTGCTCAGAGGTCAGGTGAAATTATGAGAGTGAAATTTGGCCTCTAGGTCATGGTTGACCGCTGTCAGGGCACCTGACGTTGGGCGGTGGACATGAAGTCCGATCCGTGGTTGGAGGAGGAGTGAGCGGTGCCCAGTGCGAATGTGCAGGTGTCGGCCATACAGGGAGGAGAACAGGGGAGGTGTTAGAGCCCTTAGAGCCCTCGAGCCTCTGCCCGTTCTGCCCGTGGCCCCCTCAGTGGCCGAGAAGCAGGCTCTCCCCCCCCCCCCCCGTGCTTGAAGGCCGCTTCACCTTGCCTGCCTCCCACTTCCTTGTGTTCTCTACGCCACTTCCCGCCTCATTCCCCGTGTGCCTGCTGTCTCCACTCCCCACACGTAACTCTTCCTAGAAGAACGTGCTTCTGTTTCACTGAGAACATAGAAGCCCTCGGAAGGGACTCTGTCGTTATGCTGCTGCCCCACATCTGCACACCTGCCCGCCATGGGACTCACGTGTTCCCTCTCCTGCTCTCGCTCCTCCTCCTTGTGAGCAGGGGCTTTCTTTCTGGCTCCCCAACCTGGGCGTGTTGGCTTAGCAGTTCGCCTTTTTCTCCCTTGCTTCAATAATTTTTTTCTCTGCTGGAATACGATTACAACTGTGTGTAGCTTTTCTCCTCTTAAAAAAACCCCTCTTCGCAGGCCTCATCCCATTTCTTTTTCTTCCCTTTCCCATAAGTTCCTGGAAAGAACTGGCTACATTTTGTTTCTAATTCTTCCTCTCTCTTAATCTGCTTCAGTCGGAGTTTTACGTTCAGCACTCCAGAAAACCCTCTCTCGTCAAGGTCACTGACGACCTCCGTGTTGCTAAATCCAGGTGTCAGTTCTCAGTGCTCATCTTACTTGGTCTGTCAGCAGCATTTGACACGGCTGATGATCCCCTTTTCGTACACGAACTTTCTTCATGTGGCTTTCAGGACGTCACAGCCTCTTGTATGCCTCCTACCTGCTGACTCCTTCTGTCAGGTTGGCTTCTAAGTATTGGAGACTCCTGGGGCTTGGTTCTTGGAATTCTCTGGCTGCACTCACTCCCTAGGATGGAAATCCCATCTGGTCTCAGGGCTTTAAATGTCTATCTGCTAGTGTCCCCCCTGGCACCCCCCACCCCCCACCTTAAAAAATCCTAGCCGGGCTCCTTTCCCTGGATTGTACAGATTTCGTATCCAACAGCCCATCCGGCCTCTCCACCTGAGTGGATAATAAGTATTTCACCTGCATCAGTGTAAACTGTACTTTTTAACTTCCAACCCAAAATGACTTCATCTTAATCTTTCCCGACGCAGGAAATGGCCACTGTCTCTTTCCGGTTTCTTAGGCCACGCCCTCTCAAGGTGGTTTTCAAAACCTACCCCGAACTTGATCATTTTTGATAAGTCCACACATAGCTCCACGTGACCTCTGCTCTGGATGATTGGTGGACGCTCCTGACTGGCTGCTTCAGTTACTTTCCCCACTGTACCGAGAGTGAGCCTTTTCCCTCTGTCATGGATTCTGTCTCCCTCTGCTCCGAGTCCCACCACGGATTCCCATCTCACTCAGGGTAAAAACCAACACTTTACTGTTTGTGAGGACTGGCACTTGTTACAAACTTCTGCACAACAGGTGCGCTTTTTGGAACAAGAACACAGCAGTGAATAAAACCAAGTTCCACCTTCGTTGAGCTTACATTCCAGTAAGAAAACAGCTAACCAGTCAGTAAGCGGTCAGTGGAACGGACGATGACCCTGTGCTGGGTTAGGGGCATGGGGAGCGCCGGCAGGGGCGAGGGGGCACACCTCACACGTGACACCTGAGGAAAGACTGTGGGAGAAGACGAAGCAAGGCACGCAGCTGTGTGGAGGGGAGGGTATTCAAGGCCGAGGGTCTGAGCCAGGAAGAGCTCTGTGTGTTCAAAACGCTGGAGGGAAGAAGTAAGAGATGAGATCTCATCTTCCTGCTCTTAGCTCCCAAAAGTGTACCTGGTGTACCGTAAGCTCACAACAAGTAGTTGTCAAATGAATTTCAGTTAGTGTCTGTCATAAATATTAATGCCCTGTCCGTTTGATCCCTCTGGCTCTAACCTCGTAAATCAGTTTCTGCCCAGTCCCCCTTCTTTCCTTCCAGCGCTACCCAGACTCATTCCATTGTAAACAGTCTTCCCTGACCCTTAACGTCTTCTTGACGAAGACGTTCTGTTCCTTTACCAATAACCGGTTTCCTCTTTGACCCATTTCCTACACTCCGAAGGATTTTGGGAGGATGTGGTGATGGTGTTGACATTCTCGTAACCATCTGGAGTTCTCGGTGGGTTCCCAGCAGCAGGCCAGTTTGATGCTTTTTACTCTTGGCTCCTTTTTGGTCACTGTCAGTATGTCTCCTGTCATTCTCCCACTTGTCCCGGTTGTGACATGAGGCTCACGGTCTTCCTCCATTCTCAGTTTGTCATTTCCTAGATGACATGGTACAGTGGATGTTCACACCTAGATCTAAGGTCATTTTCCGTCCTGTGGCCAACATCCACTGTTCAGAAATCCATGCGGAGGGGTGCTCCCTAGACTATCAGCACCTGGAATTGTTTCGTTTGAGAGTCTTCAAACTACTGGTACCTTGATCCTAGGATCTTAGCTCTAGTAGGACTTTATTTCTAGCACACTTGGTCTTTGTCTATAATGAGATCTCCTGTTTCATGACCCATCTTCTTTTATCTATCATCCCCATAAAATTAAATGGAATTTAATTTGAATTTAATATTAAAAAAGTTTCTTATTCAACTGCTGTTTATTTTGATATGTGGTATATTTATTGAATGATTCCCCCCCCACACACATTGATTTGTGATGCCTCTTGTATGTAGAACAAAATTATATATATTTTTATATAATAGAATCTGTTTCGTTGATCTGTCAAATTGTGGCACCAGCACACTCTTTAAATGTTATTGAAGCTTTGTAGTATGTTTTGATATTTGGAAGGGACAGTAGTGTCTCATTGACTTTAGTGTTCAGGATTGTTGGTGACGATCTGACGCTTTACACTTCCATATGATTTTGAAAACAATTTGGTTAAGTTGTAAAAAGAAAAATCTTCATTGGGCTTTTTCTTCTCTGCAATGATATTAAAAACTGGGCTATTTGACTTAGTTCATATAAATTAGTATTTTATCAAAACTTTATATTAGCAAAATATCTAAAAATTTTACTTTTTTAATAGATTGAATCTTTTTGCCTATAAATACCAAAGATGTATCTTTTATAATCTTAACAAAGATGTGCGACAAATGTAAATGATCTGTTAATTTTTTTTCAGATATGTTTCCTTCTTTTTGCCGTTCTCTACGTTGTTTCCTACTTCATCATTACCAGATACAAGAGAAAATCAGGTAAGTGGAAACATTGTAATTAAAACTTAGATTTTCATGCCAACTGATGTATGGTATTTGGCCTGTGCAGTGCCCGCCCGCATGGTGGTGTCTGTATTTAGTACGGCCGCGATCATGCCACCCAGTTGCCTGGTCCCGAGGGCACTGACAGTGCGGCCAGGGAATCTGCCCACTTGCGGGGTGGTCACCCTCTTAGACCCGAGCCCTTGTTTACCCCTGTTCTTACGTCCGACTAAGATTAGTGTGTGGCTCTTCAGCATCTGGGAAATTCTAGAGTTTGTGAGGATATATGGGTCCTTGTGACTGGCTCTGACTTTGAACATGCATATCCCCATCCCATCCTTTCTCTGACTGCTGGACTATCTTTACCTTCTCTAGTTAATTTCACAGGTTCTGCTGGGGTTTTGTAAGGACCAAAGCAGTTGCCTAGCTGCCTTCTAGTAAATCTCAGCTGCTTCCTGTAGATCACAGGATTTTCCACCTGTGATGCTGGGCTGATTGTAGTGCCATATACATACTTAAGGATTCCGTATATTAAATACTCTTTCTGTCATAATATTAAACTAATTAGAGTTTTGAAAGCAATTGGGAAATAGTGCTTGCTCTAGTGTTTTAGTTTGACTCTATGATTACACTAAAATATTTCTTGGAGTCTGTAATTTTTCAAAAATTTGAAGACCTGCAGATGCAACACAGTATCTTAACTATTAAAATTTTTTTTTAACGTTTATTTAGTTTTGAGAGACAGCATGAGCAGAGAGAACAGCATGAGCAGGGGAGGGCCAGAGAGACAGAGGGAGACACAGAATCTGAAAAAGGCTCCAGGCTCTGAGCTGTCAGCACAGAGCCCGACATGGGGCTCGAACCCATGAACCATGAGATCACGACCTGAGCTGAAGTCAGATGCTTAACTGACTGAGCCACCCAGACACCCCAGTATCTTAACTATTTTTCAGGTATTTTGGGATCAGGTTTTAATGATTGTGGACACAGAAGGAGGGGGAGAGAGAGTAAATGAATATAAGTGCACTTTTAGGGGAAATTAGGGGATGATGAACAGAAAAGTTGGAGATTTATTAGATGATTTTTAGAGTAATGGCAGGGAGGGGTGATGGGTACCCTGGCCACAGTCGATTGTGGGGAGAAGAAACGAAATGGTTATGAAGCTATTAAAACATTCTTCAGTAGTTGATGGTTGATTGAGTGTGGACACAACAGTATAAAAATTGTGACTGTATTGTTTTATGGTCCTTTTGGTTGTGAAGTTATTTTGGGCAGCGTGTAATTAAGAATGGAGATTGGACTAAGAGAATGGCTCAAATGTGCCATTGACACTGGAGCAGCTGGACACTCATGATTCCAGAGACTTACGTAGAGAGCCTTTGAGGACAACCCCAGTTAGGTATCGAGGAGAAGGAGGGGCAGGGGTGTTATGTAATATTCTTGTAATTGGATCATACTGTCTTTAGCTGGTAAGTTTACGTGGGATGACAAAGAGGGTTGACGGCCATGAGAGAGAGGGAGAGGGAGGTGGGTGAGTTCTGGGGCAGGGGGCATCTGCTACTTGGAAAAGATACAGAACTTGATACTTTTCTGTCTGTAACTTGAACAATAGTTATGAAGCATTGAGGCAGTGGTATCTAAGTGGTTTAGAATGTTCCAAGAGAATCTTCATTATTACCACTAATGATGACAAACTCAAAATATAGAAAAGTACATGTTCTCAAATTCTGAATTCTAATTTTATAATAAAAATTTTTGTTGGATATTATCAACTAAAACATTTCATTCATTAGCAACTACAATTTCACTTACGTTATATGACAATGAACTTGATAGTGGTCCTAATGTTCTACTAAGTTTTATTTTCTTGAGCACTAAATATTTGGAAATTTTTAATTTATATAGAGTATTTTTGTTAATCAGGATTCTGGTTAATCGAAACACTCTTCTCTAGCTGAATTCTATCCTGTGTGATTTAATGAGCTTTGAATTTGGATCCATGCTGAAATGAACAGTTGCTTTTTAAAAATCATTTCTGTTCAATAATCACTTTAAGTTTCTATTTTTGTTTATAGTTTCTGATAAATGAAACATTTTATTGAAGATAAAAACTTAACACCTTACACATTTTTACAGATGAACAAGAAGATGAAGACGCCATAGTCAACAGGATTTCGTATGTATTTTAAAATTCATTTGTTCTGTTTCTGATTCTGAAGTCATAAAGTTTTCAAATTTAATTCACACTTCTGGGCATAAATGTGGAAAAAAATTCACCTAATGTATTACAATGCTTTTTCTCCATATTAACCCTGCCCTTGGAAGCACGCATAAACAAATATACAATTGATTCTTGAACACTGGGGGGTTAGGGGTGCTGGCCCTGTGCAGTTGGAAATCCGTGAATAATTTTTGACTCCCCCAAAACTTAACTACTAACAGCCTGCTGTCTTACTCATAACATAAACACATGATTAACGTGTGTTTTGTGTGTTATGTGTGTTATATACTGTATTCTAACAAGTGAGCTAGAGAAAAAATGTTATTAAGAAAATCATAAGGAAAAGACATTTACAGTACTGTCCTGTATTTATTAAAAAAAAAATCGCTTATAAGTGGACCCATGTGTTTCTAATCCATGTTGTTCAAGAATCAACTGTACGCGGATAATTGAAGATTGTCTCCAGTTAAAATTTGCTGGCTTGAGGAACCGACAGTTTTACCTTCAGAGGTTTTAACCTGGAAATGGGCTTGTGGCTGGGAAAATTGCTGGGCCACAGGAAAGAAGACTCGGGCTGTTTGGTCTGCGGAGAAGACTGTGACAGTCTTGGAATAGGGAGCAGGTGCCTGTTCTGGTTAATTGAACACTTACTGGCTGTGAGCAGGGAGACGGCCTCGGGTGGTTCTTTAGGCTCCGTACAGCTCTCTTCCTGCGTCTGTTTGCTGCTGCTGTTATTGGCGAACCCTTTCATGTTTTTGAGGCATCAGACTGGATGGAGGGCAGTGAGTTTCTTTCTGTCACATTTTGCTTGATTAAAATTTGAAATCACACAGCTGCGGCTACATAGGAGAGTACCTTATTCTAATTCTTTTTTATTGATACTTGAAACACTTTTGGCATAGTTTTGAATTTATAGAAAAGTTAGAAATATGAGAAAGAGCCTCCCCCCACACCCCAAACCGTTTGAGAAGTTGCTGACTTGGTTCTTCATTTCCTCGGGATACTTTTGTATATAATTCCTATAAACAGTGCATTCTCCTGTGTACCTACCATACAACTATCAAAACAGTGAAATTGATACAGTACCACTCTTGCCCCATTCAGATTTCCCAGTTGTCCAGTAATGTTCTCTGTTGCAAAAGCACCGTGTTTGGAATCCACACTGCACGTGGTTGTCCTGTCCCCACCTCTTCAGTATTTCCTTGACTTCTCTGACCTTGATACTTTTGAAGATCACAGGCCAGTTGTTTGGATTTGTTTTTTCATGATTAATGTCAGGTTATTCATCTGTTGCTGGGGCGGGGGGAGGTGAGTAGGAGGGAGGAGGAGAGAGAGAGACCACATGTACTCGTACTCACATACACAGGTACTCTCAGGTATGCTGGAATAGTACTCGGCCATGAAAAGGAGTAAAGTACGGACGCATAGTGCAGCATGTAGGACCTCGAAGACATCATGCTGAGTGAAGAAAGGCAGACACAAAAGGCCACAGGATGTATGATTCCGTGTATGAGAAGTAGCCAGAATAGGTAAATCCATCAGTGTCATATGTATGGTTACCGGGGATGGAGGGCAGGGCAGAATGGAGAGAAACTGCTTACTGAATACAGAGTGTTTTTAGGGGTGATGAAAATGTGGGACTAGAAAGAGGTGGTGGTTGCACAACACTGTGAATACATTGAATCCTACTAAATTGTAAGTTTCAAATGGTTAATTTTATGTTATGTGAATTTCGCTTCAGTAAAAAATACTTCCAACTAGTAAGTGACTTGAATAGGGCTGATTTGGTTCATAACTGAACAGTGAATATAAATGGACCCTGCATTACTGGACGTGGTAATTTAAATGATTTTAAATGCCCTAGGGAAAACATCTGTAACTTTATACTGGGGATTCTTGCTCTGTGGGTTTAAAACTTAGGCCCATAACTTGATTTATATTTACAGGATTGGGGGTCTTAGTTTTATTCCTAACATCATGACATTTGTGAAAATTCTTAAGTGATTCATTATTTTTCTCTGTCTAAATTACGGCTCCCGGAAAAACAGCGTAGTTCACTTACCTCAGGAAGCTACAGCGAATCACAGACCGAGTAAAGGCAAGGATTCTGTCCCAGGTGAAGGAGCTGTGACATGGGTACCACTCTCCTCTCCGTGTCGTCTGCGCTCCATTTTTGGTGGCAGGTCTGCGCGCGTGCATTTGTGGCTCAGTAATTCCTCATCAGGCCAGAACACGCACACTTCGGCTTTCCCCTTGGCTGCACTTCGTCTCCTTGTGCGGAGGCTCAGGAGCCCTGCGCTCTTCACCCCGCTCCTCCCAGCTCTGCTGTGGCCGCTGTGTGTCTGGGGCTTTGGGTTCTCCCCGCGGGCAGTGCCCGTGTCGTGAGACTGGAGCAGACCTGCCCTTCCTGCAGGCCGACGGGTGTGCACTGACAGTAAAGACTGGACAGAGCCAGGGCCGGTCCGGTCCCTGACCCCTCCTCCCAACGACCTCTTGGGCTTCCGCTGTCTTTTGTTTTCTTGCTTCCAGATGGAATGAGTGAGCGTGGAGGAGGAAGGCAGACCCGGGTTCAGATTCTGAACTCAGGATCGACTTGAGTCCAGAAGAGATTGAGAAACAAGGATTTGTTTTCTCTGTGTGAAGGAGAGTTGCCGCCCCACTCTCGTGCCGTGGTGTGGATGAAAACACCCACGACACAGTCGCCAGTCGGTGCTCGGTGCGCAGTCCGTGGGAGCTCAGCCTCCCTTCTCTCCACCATCTTGCTTTGCCTCGCGGCCTCCACCAAAGAGGAGGTGGAAGGCAAGGCCTGCCTGCGAGGAGCCAACAGAAGTCCTCAGGTCCTAAAAGAGGAACCCGAAAAGAGCTCAGACGAGTTCTGAAGTGTGACCGGCAGCCCCGGGGGCCGCTGTAGCAGGGTCCCCATGGCGGCCTCAGCTCTCCCGTGAGCACAGAAAGCCTGTTCCCTGGGCTTTCTCACCTCCCTTTACACCCACCTTTGCTTTCTCCTTTACCCTGTGTTCTGTTCTCTATTTGTATCTACTCACGCCCCCAAAGTAACTATGCAACCAAAAGTTCCATTTCCTGAGAGCTGCTGTCAGCTAGTTATTTGATTTGATTTAGAATAAAGTAATTGATATAAAAATAGAATGTCTAACGGCTGAAACTTTTGTGAGCCTCTGCAGGTGAGCGAAGGGCCTCCATGCAGGAGGTGGGCCTAGCACGAGGCGCCAGAGCCCGGGGTGGGGGGTGACCTGGTGTGGGCTCTCAGGGTCTGAGAGGAGGGAGGGCGTTTTCCCTGTGGAGGGAAATCCTGACAGGGGTGTCGTCTCGAGGGGTGATGAGGAGCACCCACGTGTGTTCAGGGGTGCTCTGTCACGGGGTCCGCGCCCCGGCAGTGTGGCAGAACCCAAGTAGGCTGAGGAGGGTGTCCCCGGAGGGATGGCCTGGCATGGGTGTCAGAGGTCAGTGGGAGGGAGGCAGGACAGTCCAGAATGGGGACTCACCAGAGCAGGAGGGCGCCTCTGGTGCCCTTGGTCCATCAAGGGTAACGGAAACCATTTGCGGTTAGAGGAGAGGGAGCGAAAATGAACAGAGTTGTTGCGTTGCAGTTGAGAGTATCAGTGTGGATTCATGGTTTTCGGCATAGAGTTATTGAGCCAGATCTAGACGTAAAGGTGGGTTCACGTAAGTGTGTAAATGCACAGATATGCGTGGTGCCTCAGCCTGTTCACTGAGAGCGCAGCACCGTGGTAGCAGTGAGTATATTTAGCACCCAGATCCTCACTGCTAAGTGTGATTTTCCGCTGACAGGAGCCAGGGCTCCCTGAGGGAGAAGCTGACTTGACTGCAGGGCTGGGGCGGGGAGGAGTTCAAGGCTCGTTTCGTGCACGTGGTGCTGCCGGAAAGCAAGGAAGGGCCCCAAGATCTGTGCTGGAAAGACAGGTCAAAAGGACCTGGAAGCCTTCGAGGGCTTTCACATCGGTCAGGGACACTCTGCGCGTCAAGATAATGATTGTCATGGATCCCACACAGGATAAAATAGAACAATCTTGGGTTCATACTGTTCAGGATCAGTAAATGAATAAATTGTTTGACAAGGAACAGGATATTTTTCCTAGTTTCTAATTTAGCTTCCCACAAAATACGAATTAAAAGGGAAAAGAATAACGTTAGGGCGGACGGCCCTGGCAGGCGGCATCCTGACCAGTGATCGGGCAGAACGTGACCACAGTGGGGCAGGCAGGAGTTCTGGGCCACCTGGTAACCTGCAGAGAGAAGTGTGGAGTGTGGCTTCTGTGATGCTCCTGGCTCCTGGAGTTGAAGATGAGAGGGGTCCAAAGCCGAGCTGCTAATCCCCCCCGGCTCCAGCTTCAGCCTTCTCTGTCATAGTTGGGACCAGCTCCGCCTTCCCGTTCTCAGACTAAACACCCAGAGTCAGCCTTGAGCCCTCCCTCTCAGCCCTCCCTCACCCCCCAGGAAGTCCCGTGTGTTCTGTCCTCAGAATCTGCTCCCTGCAGAAGGCGACATTTCTGAAGCTGTACTCTAACCTGAGGGACACTTCCATAGGTCTGTAAGCTATGACCACTGCTGCCCTTTTTTGACTCGATAGGGACCCCTTGCCAGCGGTTACCTGCACTGCCTCAGCCTTTTCTGAGTAGCTCTGGTCCCGCTGCTCACGGATCGCAGCGTCTTGTCTGTATGTCCAGAGCCCAGTCACAGGACCTGCAGTGCAGTAGATTGAGGACGTGTTTTGTGGAGAGTTGGCATCATTGTTATGGTGACCATACATTCAGCATTTTCCGGATCACTCATGATTTCAAATACTGTACCTATTTGCATTCATAAGCTTACTTTTTTGTCGGATTACAGGTCCTGGTTTCTGATTTGGAAACTGTGGTTGGTCTTCTTGCTGGGTACGTGGTGGGTGTCATGTGAGCTGAGAGAAGTGAGGAGGGTGGTGCTGAGGGTGCTTCATAGGGCACGTGACACAAAGGGGACCCTGGGGGCAGAGCTGACTGCGCCCAGGGACACGGAGCCATGAAATACATGGTCTCTTGGGGTGCGAGAAGGCCAGGTACCTCCCACTGTAGGTGGGACTGTGTTGTGGAACACGCTGGAATAGCTGTGCGGGACCTCGCATGCGGAGATTGTGGGTTGACCTGATTTGTAGCATTGGAAGGAAGAAATGCTGGCGGTCAGGGCAGCTTCCTCACTTGGCTTGCGAGGACAGAACCAAAGATGCACGCTTCCGGTCACTGGCTGGCCGTTCCAGAGCTGGCCGTGGACTGGGATGGAGACTTTTCCAGTGCTTTCCCCGGGAAGCATGCCCACTTGGCCAAACAGCTTGTGAGACTTCTGTGTCTGATTTGTCTGTGCTGTGTTTTTGGTACGTGTCACATGGTCTGCATTTAAACACTTACCGGCCATTTACTGAACTGAGGTTTCCGGGTCGTTTTGCCTTTGAAGTAGGAAAGCACTTCTGCTTGTGGCCACAAGATGGCGTGGGCCTCAGTTCCTCGAGCAGGTGTGTATTAGGAACGTTCAGCATGACTTTTTCTTAAATCTTCGTACGTTTGTTTTCACATTTTCCTATATTGACTTTAAAGGGATGGATATTAAATTAAGGTTCCATCTCTAATGTTGGTGAGGTTATCTTTTCTTTTGCCTTGTTGGTCTTAAAAAATCTTTAGATAAAAAATGTTAAGCATTTCGGGCATGGAGAACTGAGAAAGTGAAAGCCCCTTAGAATCCTCCTATTCTATGGGATTGTCATATATTATGCTAGGGTTTTTGGGGGTTTTTTTTGTATCTCTGTTTTCCTGTGTGTATGTATGTGTTTTTTGAGAGGGCTGGTGTGGGGGAAGCATGTTTTTTATTTATTTTTCATGCTTTTTCAGTTTTTTTTTTAAATTTATTTTAGACATCTTTCTGTATTAGGACATTTTAGCAACATCTTATTTTTAAAAATGCCAAAATAGTGTTTTAAATATCTTTAATAGTAGAATACTGTTTAATAGCTCCCTACTATTTACTAGTATCACTTATTTTGCCTTTACTCATTTTAAGAGGTAGCTGACCATTGGCTTTGTAAGTTTTTTTCTCTTGAAATAACCATTTTGGACTGATTTGTTTTTCCTACTGTCTTCACAAGTACTTTCTCGCCTGAGTCAGTGTTTGCATTGCTCTTATGATCTATTTGCCAAAGTTGTTAATTTAACGCCATCGTGAAATAAATACTTAAATTTAAAAAAGGAAAGAGTCTATGGCATATTCTTTGTAAAATGTACGAAGTACTCTGTCCTCGGTGTGTGAATCTTTTAGGGCCTGCTCGTTCAAGTTCACGGGCTCCTCACGGGGTGAGGCGTTGTGGAGTGTGTCTAACTGAACATCTCCAGTCACACAGCATCGTTGGTCTCCTGGTCTCCCAACTACATACACTTAGTGAACACTTCTCCCAACTACACTTAGTGAAATTCTCATGTAACTTTTTGGATTAAGAGATGTAAGAGTTTTCATCCTTTTTGAATTTGCACCATATTCCTTGCCTTTTCCGGTCGCTGGTGACAGCCGTCTCTTCTCTTCCAGGTTGTGTTTGAGCACGTTCACGCTGGCGGTGTCGGCCGGGGCGGTTTTGCTTTTACCCTTCTCCATAATCAGCAACGAGATCCTGCTCTCCTTTCCTCACAACTACTACATTCAGTGGCTGAATGGCTCCCTGATTCATGGTCAGTATGTGTCGCTCATTATAATCACAATGAACGTTTTCGCCTTTTACTGCCCTGTATTTTTCGGTTTGCCTTGTCTTAATTTGCTGCCTAATTTGCATCTGCCTCCAATAAACCACGAGTCCCTCATAAAATCAGAAAACCAGATTTTACTTACTATTCCAATTCTTAGTTGTGAAAGGCTTTTCTGTTTTACTTAGTCAAGAAGCAGTGTTTATACTTAACAATGATTTTGATAAGTATTCATTTAAGTATTTATTCAAAACTGTTTTTAATTTAATTTCATTTTTTACTTTTACTCATTTTAGAGAGAGAGAGTGAGTTGGGAAGGCGGGTGGGGAGAGAGAGAGAGGGAGAGGGAGAGGGAGAGGGAGAGGGAGAGGGAAAGAGGATGAATCCCAAGTAGGCTCCGTGCTCAGCATAGAGCCCGTCGTGGGGCTTGATCTCACAAACCTCAGATCATGACCTGAGCCAAAATCGAGTCAGATGCTTAACCGACTGAGTTGCCCAGGTGCCCCAATTTAAATATTTAGCAAGAGACTTCTGGTTTATTTGGATATGTGAAAAGAACTCAGCCTCCATTTGAGACCAAAATAGTAACCATAGTTTTCTACTTTAATTTCCTGTTAGTAATGTTTGTCATTTAAAAATGTATAACAGATGGGGTGCCTGGGTGGCGCAGTCGGTTAAGCGTCCGACTTCAGCCAGGTCACGATCTCACGGTCCGTGAGTTCGAGCCCCGCGTCAGGCTCTGGGCTGATGGCTCAGAGCCTGGAGCCTGTTTCCGATTCTGTGTCTCCCTCTCTCTCTGCCCCTCCCCCGTTCATGCTCTGTCTCTCTCTGTCCCCAAAAATAAATAAACGTTGAAAAAAAAAAAAAAATAAAATAAAAATGTATAACAGAAGGGGGAAAACTTTTTTGTCAGTATAGGCTTTAAATTTAATGGTTAAAAATGGTTAAAAAATGACTTACTGGGGCACCTGGGTGGCTCAGTCGGTTAAGCATCCGACTTCAGCTCAGGTCATGATCTCACGGTTTGTGAGTTCGAGCCCCGTGTTGGGCTCTGTGCTGACAGCTTGGAGCCTGGAGCCTGCTTCGGATTCTGCGTCTCCCTCTGTCTCTGCCCCTCCCCTGTTCGTGCTCTGTGTCTCTCTCTGTCTCTCAAAAATAAATTTTAAAAAAGGGAAAGGGACTGACTTACGATGGGCAACATAGTATATTGCTTGGAGGCCAAATATACCTGCTTTCCAGTCTTGACTCTTCCATCTTCTAGAAATTTTTAGTGAAGTAAGATATTTTAATTTTAATTTATAAAATATATTAAAAGATCTAATACATAGATCTTTTTTATGTTTCATTGCCCTTCCCCCAACTGACTGAGCCACCCCAAAACCCATCAGCCTTTTCTTAGATTTTTGTAAATGTGTTCTAGTTATTTTACTTTTTAACTTCATTTGCTTTTTAGATTGATGGGATTATTAACATTTTTGTATTGTCCAGTCTTTTGTCTTCCCTTTGGTCTAATTGCTTTGTGTTTAGAAGATCCTTTCCCTCCCCGAGATGTGACAAATACTGTCTCCCCCCGCTCCCATTTTCTAAACATGATTTTGTTTATGCTTAACTGTTTAATTCATTTGGAGTTAATACAGACAACTCCCTTTTCTCTTGCCCCTTTGTGTTGAAAGAAATGACTACATTTGCTGTAGAATATTTGGAAACCAAAATGTATGGTGAAGAAAATTGTTACTCCCAATCCCATAAGCATATAACTATTGTGCATTCATTCTGTGGCCTGTGGCCTTGAATGTGGTGTGTTCCTGTGAGCACAACCAAGTGGAAAACCCTCACGGACTCAGGGTTAGTTTGTATCTCCCCCTGTCCACACATAAGGGGGAGGTTTCCATGCCATTAACTACTTTTCTGTGCGATTTACAATATTGCCTGGAGCTGTGTTAATCATGGAGTGTTTCCAATTTTTTAATTAAACTGTAGTGTACATCTTTACAAATATTTGTCCATAGGATAAATTTCTGCGATTCACTTGCCAGGTAAGCATACTTGCAGAGGACTTGAGAGGATATTTCCCATCCGCAAAGCTGAAGTCCCCTGCTGGTTTCACGGTCATCGGTGGGGTGGGGGAGGGGCTCCTCTTCTCAGAATGCATCTTCACCGCCTGTGGGCATCTCTTAAAACCTGCCAATTCAATAGCGAAACATTTCCCCTCTTAAATGTACATTTCTTTAATTACTAGTGAGGGTGGACACTTACAAAATAGAGGTCATTCATACTTATTTTTTAGTAAATTGACTACCTGTGATTCCTTTGCTCATTTTTGCAGTGTTTTCTCCCCTCTTTTTAAGTTTTTATTTAAATTTCAGTGATGTAACATACAGTGTAGTATTAGTTTCAGGTGTGCAATACAGTGATTCAACACTTCCCTACATCACCTGGTGCTCATGTCAACGTGTGCCCCCCTTAGTCCCCATCACCTATTGCACCCACTGTCCTATCCACCTCCCCTCAGGTGACCGTCAGTCTGTTCTCTGTAGTAAAGAGTCTGTTTCCTGGCTTGTCTCTGTCTCTTGTTGCTACGCTTATTTGTTTTGTTTCTTAAATTCCACATGTGAGTGAAATCATACGGTGTTTGTCTTTCTCTGACTGACTTTTCCACTCTGCGTTATATCCTCTAGATCCATCCATGTTGCTGCAAATGGCAAGATTTCATTCCTTTTTATGCTTGCAGTGTTTTTTTTAATGTTTATTAAAATTTTTTAAATGTTTATTCATTTTTGAGAGAGAGAGAGAGAGAGAGAGAGCGAGCATGCACACAAGCAGTGGAGGGGTTAGAGAGAGAGACACACACAGAATCTGAAGGAGGCTCCAGGTTCCAAGCTGTCAGCACAGAGCTGTCAGCACAGGGCTGACGTAGGGCTCGAACTCGTGAGCCGTGAGATCATGAGCCGAGCTGAAGTCGGACACTTAACCGACTGAGCCACCCAGGCGCCCCTCTATTTATTTATTTTGAGAGAGAAAGAGCGAGCACCAATTGGGGAGGGTCAGAGAGACAGAGGCAGTGAGGGAGAATCCCAAGCAGGCTCCTTGCTGTTAGCACAGAGCCCGACACGGAGCTCGAACCCATGAACCATGAGATGATGATCTGTTCTGAAATCATGAGTCAGACGCTTAACTGACTGAGCCATCCAGGCACCCGTGCTTGCAGTGGTTTTTTTTTAAGTAATTGATTGTCTGTTAGAGGTTAATTGCAAGCATTTTTCTCCCATGTATCCTTTAATACTACTTAAGCTGTTTTTTGACACAAAGAGTTTTGGTTTAATCACATATTAGAAATCTGGCCTTTATGGTTTCTGTCTTGTATGCAAGTAGGAGGAAATGGAGAGTGATGATGCTCTGAAGACCAAACGAGTTCAGTAAAATTAGGAGTAATTGTTAACTGAATAAAAAGAAGTTACTCTGTTGTTGCTTAGCAAGTGAAAAAACTCAGATAAGCAAACTGAAATTGACACAGAAAATAATAAGTCATCTCCTGAAAGGTCACTTGTTATTATGAAAGGCAGGAGACAACCTGGAGAGCGATGGCTACGAATTTTTGGAGAGTTGTTTTAGATGACGTGCTATTTGTTATTAGTAAATAGTTGGATAAAATATGATTTAGAAAATGGTTTTTGCATGCATTGTCTAATAAAATGTTTGAGGAAGACTGTTTGGCATGGTTCCCCCTGGCCCTAGCTTTTTGCGAAGCTGTAGGTACTGTGGTGCATACGTTTTGCCGGGTTGGGCTCCAGGTGTTTTTACCGGAAGTACAGGTGGTCTCAAGCTGGGCTAACCAGTGTGACAGGTGAACTGGCACTTCTTTCCAGTTTTACTAAATAGAAATTGCATGTTCTATGTAATGACCTTACTTAATGACCTCTAAGTCAGGGTCATTTCTTTTTATTTTGTTCATGAACTGGAAGTAAGAGCTACGAACATATGACATGCCGTATGTGTGGAGGCCTCAACCCTGGAAGTCAATATATTTGTATTGGTTGTCTTTCTCGTTGTAATGTAAGGTGTGCAAGCTCAAATATTTTATTTTGTTTATAAATTAGGGCTTAGAACAATGATTCCCACATAGTGGTTGCCTAATAACTATTTGTTGAGTGAATAATAAACAGTAATTTTGAACTCCAGTAAAACCACTTCCGCTGAAAGTTGGAGAACTAAGGAAGAGCCTTCTAAATGATGTCCTCTTAGGAATGGGTCTCAGGAGGCCTGGGCTGTCTGCCCTGGAAATCTTCCTTGAGGGTTTTGTGACCCCTGGCTTTGTTTCTGCTAATTCTTTGGTAGGTCTGTATCTTTGCTGCAGGTTGTGAATTTCATAAATCTTTAAATGCATCTTTCTCTTCTAAATTCATAGCTGTCTTTAACCTTGTTGATGGCATTCATGGGAGTGCTTATTATTAGTCCTTTGGATTGTCTTGGGGCTGCAGATTTGTCAACCTTGGACATGCTTGCTTCTTGGCTTCTAAAAAATCATTAAAGGGGCCAAATTGTGGTAATGCTAAGAGATGCCCTAAAACACTTGCTGTGTTCTAGACACACTCTTCCTCGCCTCCATTGTGGGGTAGCTCCAGTCTCCCCTTGGTGGTCGGGACCATTTATCCCAGCCAGCACAGGAACTCCCTTCCTTGCTGGTTGATTCAGAGGCATGAGGATCCAAAGTACTGGGCAATGGTCTGAACTTCCAGTTCAGCGGGACCAGTGTTGTGTCTTCTGGTGGAAACATTCTTCCCTTTAGAGCTTGGACGTCTAGGCTAGCAGCACTAGTTCCTAAGGTTATAGGAACAGGAGGCAAAAGTTTTGCTAGTGGGCACTAGGGATAATAGTGAGTACCCCCATTCCTATTTCTCCCTCTTGATTCCTGGGCCTCGGAACCAACCATCATATTGGATACAGATTCAGGGCACTTGCAGCCTCCTGGAGTACCTTTCCTTAGTCCT